AATATACGGTCTTACCGGGGATACGGCAACTCCGCCGAACTCGCATACAGCCACTTGAAGAGCCTGTATCAAGCAACAGACAGCGTAAAGCAGAGTCGATTGATGGCGCAACTGACAACAGTCGAAATGAAACCAGGCGAAAAAGGAATGGCGTATATCGGCCGCTGTCGCGAATTGCGCGACAAACTCCTTCGATGCGGAGGGTCGATATCTGAAGAAGCCTTCGTCACAGTCGTCATCACTGGACTTGGTCCTCATTGGCGCTCCACTCGAGCTATTCTCCGAGCTCACGGGAAGATCTCGGAAGCAGCACTCTGCGCCGAAATTCACGCCGAGCAACAAGACATGGACCTGCAAGAGGAACGGCACAAGAAGAAAACATCAGTACCCGAATTCGCGTTTCACACTCAGCGACGCTACAACACCAACAACAGCCGACATCAACCAAAGCCCGTACCTCCGTTCTACCATCTCTGCAAAACGTCAGGACATCCGCGAACACACTGCCCAAATCGACAACAATCAACACCGCCACAACGACAGCTTCGACCTTCAAGCAGCCAAGTCGCTTCAACACAAGCGAACCCCACCGCTCAAGTTCAAACGACATCAACGGGACAACCTGCACAAGGAGCAAGGAACATCGTCAGCTGTATGGCAAGACTGAGCGACTCCTGTATCACCGAGTCACCGCCACACTACTCACCAGAAGAGCAATTTGACAACACCACACCTCGCCGCGAGTCACTTCAACCGAACCCAACATACGCAGCCATCGCCCAAAGCGAGCCGTCCGGAAAAGATACTTGGTTCTTGGATAGTTGCTGCGGGCAGCACATGTGCTCCTCGGGACGTTTCGTTCAGCGCGAGCACCAACTTCAACGCGAAGTCGTCATCACCGTCGCCAACAATCAGAACCTGCGCACACGACGACAAGGCGTGGTTCAACTTCAGTCAAGGGAGACAAACGTTATACTGCAGATGTCAAAGGTATTAATCGCAGAGGGACTCGGCTACAACTTACTGAGCGTTAGTCAGTTAATGGCGAAAGGGATACACCTCGAAGCAGATAGCAACACCCAAGAATTCAAACTGTACCACGGGAGAGGAGGTCTTTACATCGGTAAAGCAGTCCTGAAGAACAACGTCTTCGTCCTTGACTTTGTTCCAGATCTCGGCACCGCTGACAGCGACGGGATCGTTTCCTTCACCTCTTGGACACATCCACCGGATCTTGACCCAGACTTCAGTCCTGGAGGCTTTTGGTACTCGGAAACCATCCCTGAAGCAGAAGAACAAGAGCGTTAGCGACAATTCAACATTCGGCAGCAGCAGAGACAACATCGGCAGCAGCAGAGACAACACCGGCAGCAGCAGAGACAACACCGGCAGCAGCAGAGACAACACCAGCAGCAGCAGAGACAACATTGGCAGCAGCAGAGACAACAACAGCAGTGGCAACAACGACACCAATCGCTGGTCCTTCAACGGCACCAATCTTCACCGACGATACATCACCAACACCCGCGCAGCAGCTAAATCCGACTCAACGAGAAGTCCACCGAAGCGCCAACTTCACCGCCGGTTTCTACTCCAACTCCGACATGTATCGGCGCTCACCCAGACATCGCGCCACCGAAGGAACCTGGCACGCAAGAATGGGTCACCCAAGCAACACGGTGCTAAATAACACGATAAGAGCAGGCGTGCTCGACAAAGACTCTCTACTCCTAACTGACGGCAGAGAACTTCAGCGAGCCCGTGGAACATGCTTCACATGTCCCGAAGCTGACTTACCGCATCAACCGTTCGTGTCTCACCACAACCCAAGCGCACCAGCTTACGCGCCACTCGAAAAGGTGTACAGCGACATCCTATACAACCGCGAGCCTGGACAAAACGCGTACAATTACACCATCACCTTCATCGACGCTGCCACACGATACGTCTGGCACCTAAATCTTCCAAGCCGCGACATGGCCTTCGAAGCCTTCGTCGCCTAGCTTCCAGTAGCAGAACGAGAATCCGGAGTAAAACTCAAAAGCTTCCAGTCAGACGGAGGAGGAGAATACACCTCACAACGCTTCAAGGACTACCTGGCAGAGAGAGGAATCAAGCGACTCATCTCTCTCCCCTACGCCCATCAACAGCAGGGTGTAGCAGAAAGGATGAACAGGACCCTCCAGAACACCATGCGCAAGCTGCTACGTGGCATGCACCTGCCCAACCACCAGTGGCCCGAAGCAATGGACCACGCCGTCATGCTGCACAACTTGCTCTCGTCATCATCGCTCCCGAAGAACGCATCACCGCATCTGCTGTGGACAGGAAAACTGGGCAGCACAAAAATGTTGAGAGTCTTTGGCTGCATGGTACAGTACTGGCCCCCATCTGCACGAGCTGGCCGATTCTCCCAACGCACACAGTGGGGACTACACCTGGGCATCGAAAAACATTACAACGCATGGAAGATTTTCGACGTCGAGACAAAGGAAACAGTAGCAGCACGTGATGTCATCTTCTACGAAAACCTCACCCTCCGATACTACCTCGCCAATTTGCAAGAAGGAAACCCCGACCGCTCCGATGGCTTTCTTGGTACCCGAGCCTTCGCTTCGGCAGAAGATGAAGCTGATTGGGACGAGCAGAACGTGGAGGGAGCCTCGGAAGAAGCCGGACCTCTCCCCTACTGCTCCGTCGACGTCCCAATGGATGACGAGAATCCACGCGAAAGCATCAACGCCGAAACCTATTACCATTTCGCCGACAACGGTTACGTTACACCTGCACAAGTCAACACCAACGAAGTAGAACGTGTAGGACCAAATTTCAATCCTACACCAGAAGAGGGAGACGAAGCAGCTTATCCCGAGGACACATCACTTCCCCGCTACACACAGAGTGGACTCCAGATACTCGGCCTCGTCACCGCAGTCCACGGGACAGCCATTCCTACGGAGCCTGCGACAGTTCAGCAGGCTCTGGGGGGGGAGCATAAGGAAAAATGGCGCGAAGCCATGGACAAGGAGCTGAAAGCACTGGAGGAACGCAACACCTGGAAGGTTGTTCCTATCGGCGTAGCACGGAACAAGACGATTCTCACCGGAAAGTGGGTCTTCCGCGTGAAGACAAAGGCCGACGGCACCATCGACAAGTTCAAAGCACGCTGGGTCGTACGCGGCTTCGACCAGGAACACGGACGCGATTTCACCGAGACATTCGCTCCAGTCAGCCGACACACCTCGCTGCGAATTCTCCTCGCGATCGCCGCCACGAAGAAAAGAAGTTGCGGCAAATTGACGCCGCCAACGCATTTCTCTACGCACCTGTCAACGTAGAGATCTTTGTCGAGCTACCGCACGGCTCCAACGGAGAACCTAACCAAATCTGTCAGCTGCTGAAGTCGCTCTATGGCATCAAACAAGCCCCGAGGCTGTGGCAGCAGTACCTACACACAAGACTCACTCGCATCGGATTTCGCCAGTTACCTCACGACCAAGGCATGTACCGGCTCACAAAGGGCACCGACTACATCCTACTAATCGTCTACGTAGACGATTTGCTCTACATCGGCTCAACCGACAGCGCCACTACCTGGTTCGAAGGGGAGCTACAAAAGGATCTCACACTCACGGTCTCGTCCACCGTCACACAGTACCTCGGCCTCAACATTCAGGAAGAAGAAGACGCAATCTACCTCAGCGCCGCGAAATACGCCGACACCATCGCTAAACGCTTCGCACTCACGCCGACCACCATCTCCACGCCATATCGCTACGCGGCAGGAAACAACGGGGAAGGATCCACTCCACTAAAGTCCGCCGGTATACGCGACTACCAGAGAAAAACTGGGCTGTCTTCTCTTCGCTGCCGTCACCTGCCGTCCGGATCTGTCATACTCTGCAAGTCAACTCGCTACTTACCTCAAGAAACCTGAAGCGGATCACATGGTGGAGCTCGACCGCGCTCTTCACTACCTCGTTAGCACTCCGACGATCGGCCTGACTTATCATAAGAATGGAACCTCGACACCTAAATTAATCGGCTACGTCGACGCCTATCACGCTGGCGACTCTGACAACAGGCGCTCGCGCACTGGCTACATCTATCGCTTCGAGCCTATCGGGCCTATCTCCTGGCAATCGAGCAAACGGGAATTAATCGCCCTCTCTTCAGCTGAGGCAGAATATATCGCACTCTGCTCAGCCACCAAGGAAGGACTGTACCTTCGCGAACTCCTGGAGGAAGCCAAGCTAGCCCAGTTACCAAACTTCACCCAGTTCTGCGACAACCAGTCGGCCATTCGCATAGCCAACAAGAAAGGCTTCGCAAACAGGACGAAACACATCGCCCTGCGATACTTCTTCGTGAAGGACGAGATTGAGAAGGGGAGACTCGAGCTGTCATACTGCCCCACGTCCGAGATGGCAGCCGACTACTTGACCAAGAAGCTCGGAAAGCAGAAGTTCGAGTACTGCATGCTGCTGACTGGACAGAGCCACGTCACCAGCAGCGACACTCCAGAAGCGAAGGGGAGTGTTGGAAACAATTAACTCTAAGCGCCTTTGTCGTGTCGAAACACCAAGTCAGAAACGAAGCGAAGAATATCGAAGCACTGGCGAGTCAACCCCCGGAAGTTGAGCAGTTGCTGGAGGTTACGCGAAAGTCAAAGGTCAGCGACCTTTGACCTGACAAGTACAGCGCGACAGCAAGGACACACAACTGACTCGTTACGGAGCAGTTACCCGAGTCGTCACTGTATCGAACCGCAACAGCAACAGTAAAACAGTTGGAACCGTATCTCTTCGTATTCCTTGTACTCTTATATAATATTGTATCTCGTTGCTTTAATCAATCAACTTTGCCCTCACATACCAGCGCAAGGTGGTTCAAACACTTCTCATTAAAGCTTCCGCTAATTACAACAAGTCCCACTTAGAGTTCAGCCCTGCAAAGATACTAAGGGGCTTTTCTCAGCCCAACACATCCAAGCAAGGCCGTCACCCATCGAGCATCTTGGTCCAATCAAACGGCTTCCAGCTCTCCATGAACTTGGCAACGCTCTGCTGCACCTCCTGCGGGCGCGACCCCACCCCTCCGCGCCCCCCTCTGGCGCGCGCGCGCCCACCGAACCTCTGAGGGTCCATCTCCATGATGCCGGCGATGACATCGCGGCCCAACGACGCCTTGAAGGCGCTCTCGTCGTCAATCACGTGGCAGTAGCCGCCCTGCCAGGGAGGGAGCGGGGTGGGATGAGCAGCGAGGTGGGATGAGCAGCGAGGTGGGATGAGCAGCGAGGTGGAGCAGGTGGGTTGAGAGGGGGCGTCTCAGTTGATGAGGCCACGTGGTCATGGCTGCTGGCCTGGCCTGCTGGTGCTCCTCATTCAACCACATGCCTGTATGCCATGTGCCATGTGCCATGTGCGGTGTGCCATGTGCCTTGTAAGCATGTACCATATGCCATGTACCATGTGCCATATCCCATGTACCATGTACCATGTGCCATATGCCATGTACCATGTACCATGTGCTACACAAGAAGGAGGGTGTGTGCCGCTGTCTGCCATGTGCAATCCACCATCCGCCCTGCCCCATGCCCAATGTGCCAGCGAAATGCACCAACATCCATTCAGAAACACGGATGCAGCAACACATGGGCACAGAGCATGGCGAGCAGGCAGGGGGGGCTGACCTGCAGGCTGAACTCGACGTGGAAGTAGGGGAAGTTGGGCGGGATGGCAGAGCGCAGCCCGCCCCTGATGGCGCGCGTGTCGATGATGCGCTTGCTGTGCTGCTGGCTCCACTCGCTCTCCGCCTCGTCCAACGCCTAACGCACCCAGCACGTGGGGGAAAAGAAAGGAGAAGAGGGAATGGGTAGGGAGGAGGGGAGAAGGGAAGACGCATGAGGCAGTGAGAGGGCGTGAGATGTGCGCACATGGGACAGTGTGGCGGGTTGCATGTGAGGCACGTGTCCGCTCTTTTGACTCCATTCCATTCCAGGTCGCTTCTCACAGCATGGCCTGCCTTTGCACGGCAGAAAGGTGCGCTGCACTGCAGCAGGCACATGAGCCCAGCAGCAGCAGGCATGTGTGTCCCACCCACCATTGAGGCCACACCCGTCCATACCAGTCTCGCACCGTGGCTGTTTCGCAGCTACCTCCACCTCTTTACACCTCAACCCCTTTTCCTTAACTCACTTTCCACTCTGCACGCTTCCAATCTCTAGCCATCTGCCACTTCGAGACGCATCAGAGTTGCAATCGTGGAGAGGGAGCACATGCCAGTGTCCGTGTCCGTGTCCGTGTCAGAGTCAGTGTCAGTGTAAGTGTCAGAGTCAGTGTCAGTGTCAGTGTCCGTGTCAGTGTCAGTGTCCGTGTCAGTGTCAGTGTCAGAGTCAGTGTCAGTGTCCGTGTCAGTGTCAGAGTCAGTGTCAGTGTCAGATTCAGTGTCAGTGTCAGTGTCCGTGTCAGTGTCAGTGTCCGTGTCAGAGTCAGTGTCAGTGTCCGTGTCAGTGTCAGAGTCAGTGTCAGTGTCCATGTCAGTGTCAGTGTCAGTGTCAGTGTCAGTGCACGTACCGTGCGTGCCATGCACCGTGGCCCCACCTTTTTGAAGTAGAGCGGAGCCTGGGCCATGACAGCAGCGGGCACGGGGATGGCCTCCACGTAGCAGTGCTTGCACTGCCGCCCCGCCCCGCCCACCCCCATGGCGCTCTCCAGGAAGATCACCCCCGCGCCCTCCTGGGTGGCCATGGCCATGCGCGTGAGGCACTTCTTGAAGTTGTGCACCTCGTCCCACACCGCCTCCTCCACCACCCGCATGCTGCCCTCGTGCTGCCACCACCGGGGGGGGGAGTGGCAAGGGGTGGAGGGGGTGAGCGAGTGTGGGGCACGAGCATGCATGGCCACTGCAGCAGGGGTTTTGAGTGTGAGGGGCGCCTTGTGGGGCCACTGCACGGTGTGGCTCACCTCAGACGGCACGATGAGCACGTGATTGGGCAGCAGAGAGCCCCCGGGCGGCAGCATGAGGTAGCTGTGGGCGGCAACGGACACCACAAGGTGGCGAGGGCGGGCGGGGCTGTCGATGCACTGCTGGCAGCGCTGCTGCACCGCCGCCTGGCGCCTGAACTCGCCCACCTGCCCCGCCTTCTCCCTCTGCTGCTGTGACGGCCTGCTTGGGGGGTGTGGGCAGTGCGGGTGAGAGATGGACACACGGGAGAGCCAAGGTGAGTGGAAGGTGAGGTAGCATGGCGCGAGAAGCATGGCGCGAGAAGCATGGCGCGAGAAGCATGGGGCGAGAAGCATGGGGCGAGAAGCATGGGGCGAGAAGCATGGGGCGAGAAGCATGGCGCGAGAAGCATGGGGCGAGAAGCATGGGGCGAGAAGCATGGGGCGAGGAGCATGGGGCGAGGAGCATGGGGCGAGGAGCATGGGGCGAGGAGCATGGGGCGAGGAGCATGGGGCGAGGAGCATGGGGCGAGGAGCATGGGGCGAGGAGCATGGGGCGAGAAGCATGGGGCGAGAAGCATGGGGCAAGCACCACGCACACGGAGCACACGGAGCACAACCACCATCCAAACACTCCCATTCGCCCATGCAGCTCAGCTCACCTGCCCTTCTTCCGCCCCCCTCCTCCCCCCCCTGCGTGCAGCCCCTCATCCCAGTCGTATTCATCATCCACCTCCACCGGCCCCTTGTACCGCCCGCCCGTCCGCCCGATGCCCGCCGCAACACGCCGGTCCCAGCCGCCCAGGTCGTCCGCGCCCGCCCGCTCCGCCGCCACCAGCTGCTGCAGCGACGCGCCGTCGTCGTCCGCAAAGTACCTGCAGGAGGGGCAGGGGCGCTCCCGGTGAGAAGGGCATAGTCAAGCGAAGGGCATAGTCGAGCGAAGGGCATAGTCGAGCGAAGGGCATAGTCGAGCGAAGGGTATAGTCGAGCGAAGCGCATAGTCGAGCGAAGGGCATAGTCGAGCGAAGGGCATAGTCGAGCGAAGGGCATAGCCGAGCGAAGGGCATAGTCGAGCGAAGGGCATAGTCGAGCGAAGGGCATAGTCGAGCGAAGGGCATAGTCGAGCGAAGGGCATAGTCGAGCGAAGGGCATAGTCGAGCGAAGGGCATAGTCGAGCGAAGGGCATAGTCGAGCGAAGGGCATAGTCGAGCGAAGGGCATAGTCGAGCGAAGGGCATAGTCGAGCGAAGGGCATAGTCGAGCGAAGGGCATAGTCGAGCGAAGGGCATAGTCGAGCGAAGGGCATAGTCGAGCGAAGGGCATAGTCGAGCGAAGGGCATAGTCGAGCGAAGGGCATAGTCGAGCAAAGGGCATAGTCGAGCGAAGGAGGGACGGAGGGAATAGGAGGAGAGGCAGACGCGATCGAGATTGGCTGCTGCTCTTGCTTGCCATGCCCTGCCCTTTGGCATCCGTTCCTCCCCTTGGCTCTCCCATCCCCTCTGCGCACCACACCTGGCCCACGCTCTACCACGTGCGCACTGCGCAGCAACGAAGCCTGTCCGAGGGCCGGCACAAGGAGGGTGGGGGCTACAGCAACACGAGGGGGTCCGTGTGCAGGTAAGTATGGAAATGACGAGGAGGAGCCAAAACAAACAGGCACGATGTAAACTTGGGCAATAAGAAAGAAACGAAGGCCAACAGCGGATGGGACACCGTCTCAAGCATTTCCCACTTCAACATCCCCCTTCTCACCTCAACCTTCTTCGGGAAGGAAGCCACAAAACAATCCCTCATTGCCATCCCCCCACACCACCCCATCCCCCTCAACATTGCCCCAATACCCCTCACCTTGCCCGCTGCCCCGTGCCCCCCTCCACATCGTATCGCTCCACACGCTTCTCCCGCCGCCCCGCCTGCACCTCGTCCCGCCCCTCCCGTGCCGCCATGACAGCTGGCAGGTACCGCCCGCTGCCATCCACCAGCGGCAGCTGCACCACCTCCCTCCGCCCCTCCCCCTCCCCCCTCTCCCCTTCTCCGTCCCCCCTGCCCTCCCCCAGAGCCCGGGGCTCCAGTGTGGATGTGGCAGGTGCAGTCAGCAGCGCGGGCGGTGGTGCTGGTGGAGGGGGCTGGGACTTGGCCGCTGCTGCACGCTGTGAGGTGCATGGGTGATGGTGATGGTGACGGTGATGGTGAAAAGGAAACATAGGCTAGTTGAGGAAACATAGGCTAGTTGAGGAAACATAGGCTAGTTGAGGAAACACAGGCTAGTTGAGGAAACATAGGTTAGTTGAGGAAACATAGGCTAGTTGAGGAAACATAGGCTAGTTGAGGAAACATAGGCTAGTTTAGGAAACATAGGCTAGTTGAGGAAACATAGGCTAGTTGAGGAAACATAGGCTAGTTGAGGAAACATAGGCTAGTTGAGGAAACATAGGCTAGTTGAGGAAACATAGGCTAGTTGAGGAAACATAGGCTAGTTGAGGAAACATAGGCTAGTTGAGGAAACATAGGCTAGTTGAGGAAACATAGGCTAGTTGAGGAAACATAGGCTAGTTGAGGAAACATAGGCTAGTTGAGGAAACATAGGCTAGTTGAGGAAACATAGGCTAGTTGAGGAAACATAGGCTAGTTGAGGAAACATAGGCTAGTTGAGGAAACATAGGCTAGTTGAGGAAACATAGGCTAGTTGAGGAAACATAGGCTAGTTGAGGAAACATAGGCTAGTTGAGGAAACATAGGCTAGTTGAGGAAACATAAGCTAGTTGAGGAAACATAGGCTAGTTGAGGAAACATAGGCTAGTTGAGGAAACATAGGCTAGTTGAGGAAACATAGGCTAGTTGAGGAAACATAGGCTAGTTGAGGAAACATAGGCTAGTTGAGGAAACATAGGCTAGTTGAGGAAACATAGGCTAGTTGAGGAAACATAGGCTAGTTGAGGAAACATAGGCTAGTTGAGGAAACATAGGCTAGTTGAGGAAACATAGGCTAGTTGAGGAAACATAGGCTAGTTGAGGAAACATAGGCTAGTTGAGGAAACATAGGCTAGTTGAGGAAACATAGGCTAGTTGAGGAAACATAGGCTAGTTGAGGAAACATAGGCTAGTTGAGGAAACATAGGCTAGTTGAGGAAACATAGGCTAGTTGAGGAAACATAAGCTAGTTGAGGAAACATAGGCTAGTTGAGGAAACATAGGCTAGTTGAGGAAACATAGGCTAGTTGAGGAAACATAGGCTAGTTGAGGAAACATAGGCTAGTTGAGGAAACATAGGCTAGTTGAGGAAACATAGGCTAGTTGAGGAAACATAGGCTAGTTGAGGAAACATAGGCTAGTTGAGGAAACATAGGCTAGTTGAGGAAACATAGGCTAGTTGAGGAAACATAGGCTAGTTGAGGAAACATAAGCTAGTTGAGGAAACATAGGCTAGTTGAGGAAACATAGGCTAGTTGAGGAAACATAGGCTAGTTGAGGAAACATAGGCTAGTTGAGGAAACATAGGTTAGTTGAGGAAACATAGGCTAGTTGAGGAAACATAGGCTAGTTGAGGAAACATAGGCTAGTTGAGGAAACATAGGCTAGTTGAGGAATTGGTCGACCGGGAACAAGCATCGTCAGTGCATCAAAGAAGTTTCAGACACACCACAAAAAACATCAGAGAGACTTATTTGTCAAACATGTATACATGCACCCATGCGTCCAAACATCCACGCACCCTTGCACTGCACCCCACAGGTAGCGCTAGTTCTGCACCTATTACAGCGCACTCCCTCAGCCACACTCCACTGCCACACTCCCTTACCATCCTCCACTCGCCCCATCCCACCTGCGCCCATCCCCCCTGCGCCCATCCCACCTGCGCCCATCCCCTCTGCGCCCATCCCCCCTGCGCCCATCCCCCCTGCGCCCATCCCCCCTGCGCCCATCCCACCTGCGCCCATCCCACCTGCGCCCATCCCCTCTGCGCCCAGCCCACCTGCCAACAGTCGGCTTCATCCGCCTTGCCCATCAGCTTGAGCCGCATGGCCTTTGCCGCCATCTGATTGGCTGTCAGTCCGCCTGCCAGTATCTCCTGCACGCGTGCATCGCCCGCATCCACAGCAGCCCCACCACCACCCTCCATGCCCTCCCCTCCCCCTCTCGCAAAACTCCCCACCTCCTCTCCTGCACCCCTCTCTCCACCGTCCTCACTCGCCCTTCCCTCACCGCCCTCCCTCCAGTCACTCTTGTCCCCATCACCTGCGGTTACTCCCTCTGCCTTCTCACCAGCCCCACCACTGCCTGCTGCATCCCGGCCTCTCTCCCCTGCTGCTCCTCTCCTACCGTCTGCACCCCTCGCCTCCTCCCTGGTCCCAACTCCCCTTAGCGGCTTCCCCCCGCCCGCATCTGGCCCTGCCACCACGTCACCACGGGCCAGCTGCTGCGCAAGGAAGCCGCCGTCGTCAGCGAAGGCATTGACGCTGCGAGCCGCCTCCTCCAGCACGCCATCGGCCCACCCGCCCCGCCTGCCCACGCCCATGCCAGGCCTCCACGCCCCCACCCCCTTCCACGCCTGCTTCCTCTCCTCACCCCCCTCGCCCCCCCCTCCTTCCCCTGCCCTCGTCTTGTCACCCGCTACCCCCCTCTCACCCCGTGCCCCGCCCTCTCCTCGCCGGCGCCACGACACTGACTCCTGCTGCGGCACTCTCATGCCCGCCCTCGCCCCCACTGACACGCCCTCCAGGTACCCCCTCCTGCCGCCCCTCATCCGCCTCTCCTCCTCTTCGTCCTCCTCCTCCTCACCGCCATCATCTCGCCCACCCCTCCTGCCACGCCCCTCTCCCTCCCTCTCTCTCTCTTCCTCCTGCCTCCACCCTCCCCTGCCTCCGCTCCCCTTGTCCCTTGTGCCTCCCTCCTTGCCTCTCCAACCCTTTCCCTCTCCACCTCTCCCTCCATCCCCCTTGACGTCTTCAATCCTCAGCCCCTCACCATCCCTGCTCCTTTTCCCCTCTCTCTCTCCTTCTCCCCTCCCATCCTTCGCCCCCTCCCCCTCGTCCCCTCTGTCCTCCCCCACCCCCCTCTCGCGGTCGCGGGCAGCATGCTTGTGGGCGAAGGCGGGGGCAGCGCGGGCGGAGGAGAGGCGGGCGGTGAGGGAGGAGAGCGAGCCCCACCGGTCCGACACCACCTGGGAGGGAGGGTTGGGGAGAGGGGGGGGGAGGAAGGAGGGACAGGCTGGTTATGGTGTGGCTCAAAGGGATGAAGCGAGAATGAGAAGCAGGGTCCCCAGCACGATGTCTCACAAGCGAGCCATGCAGGCAGGCATCATCCCGTAGTGAAGCACGCATTCCCACTTCCAGCACCACACCACCACCTGCGTCGTTGGATCCCCCGCCGTCTCACCTTCACCCCCCTCCCTCCCTCCCTTACTTCACCTCTCTCCCCTCACCTCGCTCAGTCGCTTCCCCTCACCTCGCTCAGTCGCTTCCCCTCGCGCTCCGCCTGCTCCTTGGCGCGCCGCAGAGCCTTCAGCCGCCAGCTGGCACCGCCATCGCCCACACCGGGCGGCGGTGCTGGGCGGGCAGAGCCCAGCCGTTGGGCGGCAGAATGGGCGGCAGGGTCAGCAGCAGGGTGGGCGGCAGCGGAGTCAGGGAAGCCGTCCCCGGTCTTGAAGTACGGGTTGAGCTCGCGTGCACTGCTTCCCAGCACTATCTGCGCATGCCGCGCAGGGGGCAGGGGGGACAGGGCAGGGGACATGGGCATTCAATGAGCAAGGTGGGAGACATACGTGCAGGAAAACGCAGACAACGAGAGGGGCATACCAGAGAGGAATGAGAGGTGACAGAGAAACACTGAAAGCAATAGGAGGCAAAGGGAGGAAACCAGGACTGGCAGTGACGAAGTGCAGAGTCGACGGTGATTCTATGCTGTGAGGCACCCACCCATATACAACGCCCCTCCCTTCCCCCTCACCTCTTTCCTGCCCTTCTCCTCCTCCTCCTCCTCCACCGCCCTCGCTTCCCCCAGCGGCCGCTCCGGGGCGCGCATCATCCACTCCATCCCCGCTGCCTCACGCGACTGCTGCCCGCCCTGCCCTGCTCCCTCTGACCGCGCACCCAAGCCTGCACCCAAGCCTGCACCCGAGCCTGCACCTGAGCATGCCCCTGGGGATGGGGATGGAAGCAGGGGAGAGGAGGACAGGGATGGAGCGTATGCGTTGACAGAGTGCAGGGTGCAGTGCACTAGGTGGACGAGCAACGAGGGGAGCGGTGAGGGGAGCGGTGGGAGGGGCAGCACACGAATAATCACTTGGCAATACTTGTCACTCGCATCCGCGACATGCCGTGCCTGTCTCACGCCGTGCCTGTCTCACGCCGTGCCTGTCTCACGCCGTGCCTGTCTCGCGCCGTGCCTGTCTCGTGCCGTGCCTGACTCGCGCCTCACCTGCGGTCACACCAGCTCGTATCTCGTCGCCCTCCTCATCCGACCCCTCCGAGTCATCTGAGCCGTCCGATACGTCCTCGATCCATTTGCCCCGCCTCTTCCTTCGCTCCTCCCGCTTCCTCGCTCTCCTCGTCGCCCGCCCATCCTCGCTGTCCGATTCGCTCTCCCCCGCCTCGCTCTCACCCCCGCGCCGCCCTCTCCTCTTTCCTTTCTTCCCGCCTCTTTCCTTCTTCCGCTTCTTTCGTCGTCTCTCCCGCTCGCTGTCGCTCGAGTCGTCCGATCCCTTCCTGGGCTTCACCTTATGCCCGCTGCTATCCTTCTTTCTCTCGCCAGCGCTGTCAACCCTAACGAATTTCACGGCGCTGAGCATGCTGAGTGACACACGCGATGGAAGAGGCCAACTGCGAGCTGCAAGGCAGCAGAGATAGTGTCGAAAAGCGAACAGTCAGGTTCGGGTAACCACCTCGCGAGCGTCGTCAAAACGCACTTAATAACGGGAGGGAATGACCGGCGGTCTCGGCTTCGCGCCTTGACTTCCTTCGGTTAGAGCTTCTGACTGCCGTCCTTTCGCGTGCGCGTCGTATTCCTATAAAACCCGCGTGTCAAGAAAGCCCACATTAGCTCATCCTTCCTAATGTTGGTTGGGTGTAACTTGGTTGCCAGCAGCGCGACGGGAGGACATAGCAGCGCGACGGGAGGACATAGCAGCGCGACGGGAGGAGATTGCCACTCTGCATGAAGGGATCGCCGCGCGAAGGGAAGGGAATGGCCGAGCGACGGGTAGGGTATTGTCGCGTTTAAAATTGTTTTTCGGCGCGCGGCAGTGGAACTCTGGCGTGAGGAATGGGTGTCGCGGCGCGTTTTCCGAAAATCTCGTGCAAGCATATACTCACACGTGTCTTCGGCCGCGATACGCTACGTTTGTCTAGCGTGAGTGGGTCCCTGCGTTCACTCCTCCCAAATAGCTACCTCGCAAATCCCCTTCTGATTTCCCCAGGTAACGTGACGCTCGGGCTCGTTGACCACGCTAAGTGCTCCCATTAAGCGAAAGAGTGGTGAGGTCTAGGGACTCCTACACCTGGAATCACGCAGGTGATTACCGTGTTGCATCGTGGGTACCGTGGTGTCATCATGCTTTCATGCAATTACGTTCACAATCTTAGAGTAGTTCTTGGCTGCTGTCTAGAATCTTCAAACCAAGCTCTGAAAGGTTGAGATTTTGCTAGATTTTGACGATGACGACATGGAATGATCCTTGTGTCAGCGAGCCTGACCCCGGCCAAGAACGCGCCCTTACGACGTGTTGCGACCCACACTGATTGGTGTTTCTTATCTAGTCGCAGGAACTATCAAGGGTCGAGCCTTATCAGGTCTCTTGGTATTACAATGGCGTTTTGGTTTTAAGCAGCCTTACGTGGATTGGCTGCTGGATCCTGTTCCGCCGGATTTATGTTTGTTATCCTACACATTGGGAACGTCAAATAACTTCGGTCTTGGATCAACTACGCGAGGCACAGGCATTTTGCGCTATCAAGCAGCAACGACTATATAAGCAACGGAAATGACATCTTTGGTCAATTATTCGTGCTCAGAGGAGGCTTATTATCAAGCTTCAGTTCAAGCTTGTTCCTCCGTTTTCATCATTGCACAATGGCGGGTGCACGACGTAATGGACGGGGAGGCGGGAAGGCTGGTGAGAAGGTTAATGGGACCACTGGCAACACTCCTTTGGCCAGCGCGGAGCGCTCTCCGGAGAAGAGCCCACTTGTGTCGGCGCAGGCCTCGCCTCGTGCTCCTTCTAATGCGACGGCGATCGATGTGCTGGGGGACGCGGCGAAAGTCTCCTTGCAGGAGCGTTTATCTGCTTTGAAGGTCAACGGGCTTAAGGACAACGAGGAAGAGGATACATCAAGGATTCCGCAGCCGGGAGGATCGCAAATCCCTGTCACAATGGCACCTGAGACGGCGACGGAGGGTTGCAGCACAGATGTGGATGAAGATGAGTGTTGGGACAGCGATGACGAGGATGTTTTTGACCCAACTGCGGTCAGCCTGCTTGCGACACAAGTCAGCTTTCCGCTTACGCTTCTGATTCCTATCCAGTGGGAGAGCGAGGTTCCGAAGTTGAAGCCTACGGTCATTGCGCACCTGGATCATTGGAAGGCTTCGCTGACGGCCGACGCGCAGACGACCACGAAGTACCAGGAAATGCTGCCGGCGTGGCTGTCTAAGAAGAGATACGGCCGTCTTCAAGTTATCTTTCAGCATGCGTGTGATGCAGCTGCGGTCTGGCGACGCTCCATTGAGCACGATGTGGGGAAGGGGGTCACTCTGACGCTCAACTGGCAGCACCCTGAAAATGCAACTTACAGGAAGGAGCGTCAGCAAAACCCCGACGCGGTGGAGGTGCTGTTGAAGTCTGTTCCGGCTGGCGTCACTCGGGAGCTGGTCCGTAAGATGCTGACGGAGGTCGCGTTGCTCAAGAAAGGGAGGCCTGCGTTCAGCAAAGGCGTGGGTTTCCACAGGATGCAGGACCCTGTTACCGGTATTGACACTGACAAGATACGTGGCCTGGTGTTCAAGCTTGAGAATGATGTTGACCCGTGGCGTCATGCGGTTGTGGATCTGTCCAATCCTGGAAGGAAGCTGATGGTTCACTACCCGGTGCTTACCTGCGGTTACTGCAAGGGTCAGCATCTGACGCAGTATCACAACGCTTATGTCACAGAGCGTCAATCCAGCATCGGCAAATGGACCTTATCTGTCGCAAAGGTTCATGCGATCAACGGTATCAGCGTCCTGCATTTCTCACCTTTGCCACTCCTTTTTTGTTCTTCACCATGTACTGATGTGCCGGCTCAAACCCTCCCCCGCAGCTGCATCGCTGAAAGTCACAGCATTAACAAAGGACATTCTCAAGGACCCGGCTATCGTTCTCACCTCCACAGGAGGGTCGCGGGAGGACTGGAGTGTGCGTCGTCGCTGCTTGCGACAAAGCGCAGGGTGCCAGCTTCGAGCAGGCATCTGTTCACGCTGCATCACTTCGTCACAAGACGAACCTGACCAAGCCCGGTGCTGCTACTCGCGCCAGCAAGGGTGCTCTCAACCTGGGAGCTTTCCGCAAGGAATTCGCCAAATAGCTGTCTGGGCGTTGTTGCTCCAGTGCTTCACATCTGCAAAAGCACAGAGGGGAGAAGGATGGCAGTTCAGTTTTCGAGTCAGCTGTGGTAGCTGTAATAGTAGTCTCTATGATGTGCAGCTCTTTGGTGCGGATGGTGTTAGCGGCGCGCGTGTATCAGGAGTCATGTACCAGCTCTCAGCCCGTGGATGCGAAGGGGCTTTTCACCTGTTTTTTAATGAATAAGAAGAACACGATCAGATTCTACGAGCTCAACATCAACGGGCTCGGCAGTGCAGGGAAGCAAGGGAAATGCAAAGATTGGATAAGGAACAAGGCGGACATTGCGGTACTTACTGACACGCGTATCCCTGCTGATCACAACTTCTGGACCCAGCTGAAGCCGTCTGCGGTGGTGGCCGTGGGGCCAGCTGGGTCGGCAGGAGGAGTGGCAGTGGTGAGCTTCATACCTGGGATGGTTTTCACAGACACGTATACACATGCATCAGGGAGACTGGCGGGGGTGGTGGTCCGTTGGGGGGACCTGGAGCTGCTCCTGGTCGCGTTATACTTACCGGCACAGCCGGAGAACAGGGCGCCTTTCTACAGGGACTGCCTGGAGTCCTTTCTTAAAACCTTACCGAAGCTGCAGAATGTCCTGGTGATGGGTGACCTGAATGTTGTGGAGGACCCAGTGCTCGACAAGTCATCGGGGGTAGGGTCGTCGGCGGAAAACAGGAGGCTGATGGGATACTGGGCGGCCACCCCGCTCACTGATGTCTTCCGCTTTACGCACCCTGGGAAAAAGGAGTACACTTTTCATATGAGGGCAAAAGGAGTAAGCACCAGGATTGACCGCGCGCTGGCGACGCAGCCGCTGCTAGGAAAACTGGTGGAGGTGCGACATGCGGACATCACGAACAAGATGACAGACCACTGGTGTGCGGTGGTGGTCGCGCTGGAGTCGTCAGCGGCGGTCGATAGGGGGCTTGGCATCTGGAGACTGAGGGCTGCTCGAGCAAAGAAGAAAGGGGTTAGGAATCGGGTGGAGCGAGTGCTCAAGGACGCAGGCGGGGACCTCGGCAATATGTTGCCCAGGTTAACTACGTGCCTGAGGGCGTACACACGGGAGGAGAAAAAGAGGGTCGGGGCGACGAAAAGGCACCTGGAGAAGGAGGTGAAAATCTACAGACAGCGGCTGTCGCGAAGCCCGAACTGCAAGCGAACGGGGACAATCCTGCTCAAGAAAGAGGAGCTGCTTGACGCGTATGAAAAAAGCCACCAGGAGAAGCTGCAAGAGTGGCTCGGGGTGAAGGCGGAGCTGGATGGGGAGACGACAACCGGTTTTCTGTCTGTAAAAGTGAAAATGCGCAAGGCCAAGACGGAGATGTCAGCGGTGAATTTCAAGGGGGTAACTCATTCGGGTGCGAGGGAGGTGCTGGTGGCGGCGACTGAATTTTTCAAAGACTCTTTCGGCGGGCGTGGGGAGGCAGGCTCAAGCGCGTTGGAGCCGAGAGTTATGCGCCGAACGTTGTGCGACGGCAGCCGGAATGCACTCAGTGCACCGTGGTTGGAGGAGGAGGTCCGGACGGCGGTACGCGAGCTAGCTCCAGGGACGTCGCCCGGGCAGGACGGTCTTCCCAAGGAGCTGTTTGAGCATAACTGGGACTTGCTGGGCCCGGTACTGATGAAGTTCGTCGGCGATTTCACGCGGACGGCGGAACTTCCTCGGGAAATCTCAACTGCAATCACAATCCTGTTACATAAGTAGGGAAGCAAAGAGGAGTTAGGGAATTACAGGCCCATCACTTTGCTGAGCACGGTCTACAAGGTGCTGGCAAAAGTAATGGCGTCGAGGCTCAAGAGGGTTTTGCATGAGGTGATCTCAGAGGATCAGGTGGGGTTTTTGTCAGACTAATATATAATTCTATATATTGTTCTATAACTGCCTGTAGTGTAGAATACTGTAGTCATATAACTTTCTAGTTGGTGGTGCACCTTGCATGCTCTGTTTGCTATATGTACTCTTGTGCTATAGTGAACATCATTCCCCTCTCAACTTTCTCGACACTTCTCCTTACCCTCGAACTCGACCACTAAGCTACTAAACCTATGGCTCCTAAGCCTACTCATGCTTAGTATCTTAACATGGAATCAGAGCGACTACGCTCTTGGCCTGTGGGCCCCACGTGCTTCCGCTGCTTTCCTGTCTGTCGCGCGCCCCGTGGCGCGCGACACCTTTTTCTTCCCGC